TGTGCGCGGCTGCCTGCGGTTTATTGATGGACACGAGGGAGGTATGGGGCTTACTGGGGCACCACCGCTGGGTTAGAGTGGATGGTGGTGGAGAGTGTGGAGTGGGGGGGCTGCCCCTGTCACTGTGGTGTGTCACCTCTGCAGCAGCGCTGTCACCAACAAATGGCGCTTTAGTGGAACCCTGTAAAGAGAGTCGTGCTGAGGTACTGTTTGAATCAGCTTGGGGCCAGTGGGGGACTGCAGGTTCTGTTTGATCAACATCAGCGGATGTTGGGAGGATGTCCACTGTCAGCCTAACTACAGATGACCATCCACAGTCAATAGAGACAGTGGGTATATTTTTTTTTATCACTGTATATTTTTCAAGATTTAACAGAACACAATGTAAAAAAAAAAGGGAAAATCAGAGGTCAATAATCTCATATGTTATATACTTCATAGTCTTTCTCTGGCATTACAAAAAACCAGCATACATGAAACTGATACAATTTTAATTTCGTTTCTGAGCGCAAAATATCTATTACTTTTAATTCAAAGTCAATTTTCAATTGACTTGAACTGAAAATTGACTCAATTCAAAAACTGAGTCAATTCAAAGTCAATTTTCAATTGACAATTTGCAGTGAGTTTGAGTAAGTGTGTTTAATTTTGGAACCATTGTTTTCCAAAAAATAAGGGCAGCACGGTGGCACGGTGGTTAGCACTGTTGCCGCACAGCAAGAAGGTCCTGAGTTCAATTCCTCCATCAGGCCGGGGTCTTTCTGTGTGGAGTTTGCATGTTCTCCCCGTGTTTGCGTGGGTTCTCTCCGGGTACTCCGGCTTCCTCCCACCGTCCAAAGACATGCAGCTTGTGGGGATAGGTTAATTGATTAATCCAAATTGTCACTAGGTGTGAATGTGCGAGTGAATGTGAGTGCGAATGGTTGTCTGTCCCTATGTGTTAGCCCTGCGACAGACTGGCGACCTGTCCAGGGTGTACCCCGCCTTTCGCCCTATGACAGCTGGGATAGGCTCCAGTGCCCCCCGCAACCCTGAAAAGGATAAGCGGAAGCGAATGGATGGATGTTTTCCAAATGAGTGAACATACATGTCTTACCTCCACACCGAAGGTAAGTGGAGGCTTTAACAGATGGATTTGATAGGAGCTAACATAATTTTGCATGATGTGGATGAAACATACATGAAACACGACAATAAGCATTTGTGACTGGAGGCGAAAATGATTTTGTACATTTTTACTCCCCTAAACCTGTTTATGTTACACTTCATTCCTGCTGGGCACCAATGTTTCCTCACTGGATTTCAGTTTAAATGTAAAACACTTTATTTCCAAAACATATGCACATTTATATACTTCAGATCAATTGCTTTCGATGGCCAGGGAGTTTTAAACAGTCAAAACAGCTCAAAGGAGACAAATCAAATCTAAATTATGATTATGTGAGCAGAAGTCGGATGTTCATTATATAATTATAATTATAACCAGTGTGCTGTCATTTTTTATGATAATTTCAAAGACTATTATTGTATATTGTATTTGGTATATTTAAATGACCATAATAGAGTATGATATGTATTCAGTAAATTGGGATTAAGGATGATGAAATGATCCCCATCAGATTACCCGTTTTGATAGTAGATACCCACATCAGATCTTTAAGATATCTCTGATCGCTATATCATATTGAGAGCGTTGTAATTACTTTTCTCCCTGCAGCGCTTGCTGCTGTGCCGAGCACCTCCTTGCACTGCCGAGGAGATACCCTTCTAAGAGAAGCTTTTGCTAATGGATAACAGTCAGCCTTACCACTATCATAGTGCCGCTGGCGGAATGTGGGCAAAATGGCAAGGCCCAACTAAACTGGTGTGACTGAAAACATTCTCAGATAGGGCACAATCCATCCATATACACACATATACATGCACAGCAACACACACACCCAGAGGCCAGGAGCTGACAGTAAATAAAACCACAGTCCCTCCTTAATTAGCTCTCTGCCTAAGGGTGAAAACACAGAGAGAAAGTGTGTCAGTCTCTTCCTGTGTTGGACGCTAAGCTGCCACTGCATTCCTCTGTCCATGTTTGCTAAGAAAAATGGCATTTCAGCACAATGATTTGGGTACAGATGTAATTGCACAGCCCTTTGTGTACAAAAATATCAAGTGATTGTTTTAAAGTTAGTTGTTCCTTACCTAATTTTTATCAATTCATTTTTAATGGTCTATTTTGGGACAATACAAATAGATAGTTAGACATTTACTCTAATTAATAGCAGTGAATTTGCATTAATAAAGTGAATGTAAATTTAGGTCATGAACGTCACGAGGCATGTAAGTGCAGTGATGCCTCACCCTTTTACTTGTATCCTCATTATAATTTAAAAAATTGTGCTCTCCTTTCAATAGCTGTCCATGAGTTACTGACCCTAACCCACATATTAAATAGGTGCTGTAAGCATGAAATTATTATTTTTGAACTGCATCTTATTTATTTTTCATTATTGCAACAGAATACGGAATATGATGTAAAGCCATGGAAAAAATTTTTTATATAATTTAAATCATCAGTGTAGTAATGGACAATTTTCCTGGTTTGAATGAAAGGCAGTCAGAAACTAGGATAACAGTGCACTACTGACCCCTGCTGGTGAATTGTTAGCTGGAAGAAACAGGTGAATGGGACAATCCAAAAATACACAACTATTGACTTAAAATGACCTTTTGCTTTTTCACTATTTTCTCCAGCTCCTACCCACACTTGAAAAGGCATGTACTGAAAAATACATTACACACAGTCCCTGACAAAATCTATCTATCTATCTATCTATCTATCTATCTATCTATCTATCTATCTATCTATCTATCTATCTATCTATCTATCTATCTATCTATCTATCTATCTATC